TTTTTTTTTTTTTTTTAGATTTATTCAGTTGAAGAAAGTTTGCTGCCAACCAGCAGCTAAGGAAGGTATGGCTAGCTATCATCTATGTAAAAATGCTACAGAATATTATGCTTACGAAAAATTTAACTTAAAGGGATCAAATTTACATTTACATTCAGTCATTTAGCAGACGCTTTTATCCAAAGGAGCAATGATATGCAAGTGCTATATCAGGAAAGGATGAGTTTAGAATTACATTTAGTTTAAATACAACGAAAACAAAAGAGGTCCGAAGATTCAACCCTGAGGTACACCACAAGTTAATGGTACCATAGAGGAAGAAAAACATTCCAACCTCCACCAAAAATCAGAAAGATACCAGAAATTTAAACCATGGTCAATGGTGTCAAAGGTCAAGCTTTTTTACACTGGGTTTTGTATCATTGTAGTTTTATTAATGTATGTGCTTTCTTGTTGGTTTTATTATTTGTTGTTTTATTTGTTAGGATTTATGTACAGCACTTGGGTCGGCACTGGCTTTTTTTAATGTGATCTAGAAATAAATTTGCCTTGCCTTAATTTTGAAAACTAAAAAGTATGTCCTTCAATAAAGAGTTCATGATCATATTTGAAGTGGATCTTGGTATAATGTGTGATGGTTTGAATATTTGATATTGTGAGGTAGTAATGATGTAAAATGGTCATGACATTTCTTACTTTTTTTGGATAAAAAGTTGGACTTGCTAATACAAGTTAACATTCAATTTCCTTTGATCTTACATAAGTAAGAAGAAATGGAGTTTCTGAATTACAGTTTGCAAAACACTGACTGATTTAGTAATGACACCTAATAAAGCTACTCTCAGATCATGATGTATATATCCAAAAAATGAAAGGAACTTCTGATCTTTTAACTATAACTTCTAACAAAGATGTGCTTCTATGTCACTCTCATTTACATCATAATCAAATTGAAACTTAATTGTTCTGTAAAATGCTTGGTGTAATCTAGTATTGGTCAATGGCAGCAGTATAGAAGACAATCCTTTCTTATAAAAATACACATTTTAATATAAATTGAAAAAAAAAAAAAACACAAAAAAAAAAAAAATAAAAAAAAAATATATATATATATATAAATGATGAAGTTCTTATTACAAAAAATATCAAAGTAACATTCTTATCATTCTTGATATCTATTATTATCTATTATAATTTTTCATTAATATACCCTTAAAGTAGACTAATTACTTGCAAATATGAAATATATACAACATAAAAAAAAAATAATAATTAAAAAAAAAGTTAATTTAACTGAGAAAAATCACCCCTATATTAGTATTTGAACACTACCCTAATTGCACAGCGTAAAAAAATTATTTTGTATCATTTTAACAATTTTTTGTTTAAAAATAGGTAAAAACATACACACACAGGCCCGTAGCCAGCTATGAGGTCACAGAGGTTCGGACCTCTGTAATTTTTTTTTATGTTCAAAAATAGCATTGAATGAACTGAATGAGTAATTTTCTGTTTAAAACTCCTCATATGAATGCTTGCATGACATGTATAATTCAGTTTAGACAGTTTGTAAGAATGTTTAGCGTCCGCGGTATGAAAATGATCGCTGCCAAACACTGGCGGAGTGAACGAGGCTTGAGAGAGTTGTGACTTGTGAGTGAGGGTGCGTGCGGGCGCAGCCTCTGTGTTGCCAGTTCCAGTTATAATAAGCGTTTTTGGACTTGTCCACTTTAAAAAGTTAATCAAGTGGGAAGTTTCACATTAGGGTCAGCGATATCTTTATCTGATTTTATTTGCAAAGATTTGAAATAATAATCGGTTTATTTTATTTTATTTTTTTTATTTTTTTATTTGTTTTTATAGCAATATCTGGCAACACTGCATCGCCGGCACTTAAACTAATCAAAAAAGCCCATGGATAGGTTACTGCTGACAGGATAGCACATTCGGTAAGGCAAACGCAAAAAAATATCATGATATTATCCATCAGAAACGTTATCAACGCTGTCAAAAACAGTAGCATTTAACACTAGTAGTACACAGATCTAGAACAAGTAGGTTACAGAATGAAATTGAATTTTCTAGAAACACTAGCCATGAAAAAGTCTATGCTATTTCATTCAGTAGGGTATAGAAGTAGTACATTTTCACAAAGTCATGCTAAAAATATTCATAAGAGCACTAGACAAAGTTATCAGCTATATGTGACCCTGGACCACAAAACCAGTCTTAAGTCGCTGGGGTATATTTGTAGCAATAGCCAAAAAAAACATTGTATGGGTCAAAATTATAAATTTTTCTTTTATGCCAAAAATCATTAGGATATTAAGTAAAGATCATGTTCCATTACGATAGTTTGTAAATGTTGTACCGTAAATCTATAAAAACTTAATTTTTGATTAGTAATATGCATTGCTAAGAACTTCATTTGGACAACTTTAAAGGGGTCATATGATGCGATTTCAAGTTTTCCTTTCTCTTTGGAGTGTTACAAGCTGATTGTGCATAGATAAGATCCCTGAAGTTGCAAAGACTAAAGTCTCAAATCCAAAGAGATATTCTTTAT